CAAATTTCAGCCAAAAGCAACATGTTAGCTTACATTTAGTGTCATATTTCAGCCATTTAATTTTACAAACATTTAATGTACATCTTTGCATTTCCTCACCCAGCAGATTTAAGTCTTGTGCATCAAAGCGTTCAAGCCAACAACAATGTTCAAAACTTCGAATCTTTATCTTACAAACAACAATAAAAACACAAACTCAAATCATCATTTATTGACATTCATAATTAAATAAACAAATAACTAAAAAATGTACCTCATAAAATGACAAAGAAATAGCGAATTTGTCTATAAAAATGTACCTCGTAACATAATTAAATAAACAAATAACTCTGAATCTTAAAAAATACCTCATAATTAAATAAACAAATAACCAAAACCAACGGCACATACCTCCGCCTCATAAAGTAACTTAAAATATGATTTTTTAAAGGATTTTTATCGACAAAAATAGTTAATTTGCTTGCAAGAAAAAAGCATTAATATCATTAAAATAATCTAATAGGATATAATTACTGTTTCCAAGCCTTGATAGAAGGAACTAAAATAAAACAAAGGGTTATTTTACTTTAATATCACAAAGTTTATACCAATTGAACCTCAATACCCCAAAATACTTTTTGCCCAAAAAGATCCCAAAGTTCTCAAAAGTTTACCTTTGATTGTGTAAAAATAATTGTGGTATCCAAGTTCAGATTAACTTTAAAATAAATACAAAAAACTAAATAATTTCTAGGGATTTAACTCCAAATGAGCAAGAAAAGACATCTATACAGAAAAATATAACATAAACTTACAACTAATGGATGAAACATGTTCTTTTCCAAGAATAAATCAAATTACTTCACTCTCCATCTTATAGAAACAATCCTCTCTTAACAACCTCTGCAGTCACTTTAAATGTTATCCCAGCCTACACACTCTTAAGAACTTCCACATGCTTTGAACAAAAGGACTACATGTACTTTTTTTTAAAAATAAGCACATTTCAATAAAAAATTCCCAAACAACATAAAATCACCAAAAAAATGAAAAAGGAAACTTTTTTTCCTGTATTGAATCCATAAAGAGTGCTTAGCAAAGCGCCAAGCTTAGAATCAAATTGTGCGACCTACAACATAATTAAATAATTGCACACCGGAGAATTATTGCACATCTTAAGGGAACAATCTCTTTTGATAATATGAAAATAATTTCCCTTTTTTAAGGCTAATATTGATATGAATTGCTTACTTATGTTACAATCAATTCAAAGGTAATATATAATGTTCGTTTCTAAGTATATTTTGTAATTAACCTATAGAGAACAAAATTCTTAAAAGGTTGGTTAATTTAGATGTGAAGCATGTTTGAATTGTTCACATTAATCATGACTGATTGTAAATGCTATGAAACATAAGAATGCAAATAATGGTTATATATACCAAGACTGCAACACTACCTTTAAATATAGGTTAATCTTTGGTAATTAAAAAATTAATAGAGCCAATTTACCTACAAACTTCAAAAGTTGAATTCAATTAATAATCCAATTGCATTAGCCTTAGTTAAAGACTTAATTAAATTGAAAAAATCCACTAAAACCACACAATTAAAGAAGATAAAACTACCAGAAAGATGAAAACAAACTTGTAGTACCCTTTCCAACTGAACATTAACAAACTCGAATAGTATTGGCGACTGTGTAACAATTAGAGATTCGTAAAAAATTTAGTAAGAAAAGGTTTTTGGCATTATCAGTACAGTACAAAAAAAATAGTAAAAGTGATTAAAAAACAAAGTGAAACGAACCTGCAATACTCTTTCCGATCGGACCTTTGCAGATTTTATTGATAGATAAAGTAAGCTCTAATTGAAATGGGTAGGGAGAGTTGCATTATTGTTCTAACTGCTGATGATAGAATCTCTAATGGAGAGGTATTAATTATAATGCAGGAAAGTTAAACACTTTTCAAGATAAAAGAGGTCGGTTAGACCAGCAAAGAGATCACTATTTGCATAGACGGGGAAAAAAAACATAGACAAATTTAAAATAAAAACAACAATTTTGTGCTGAATTATCTTCTAGTTTTTTCTTTTATTTTTCTAGAATATCAATCTGTAGGATATAATATGCTTCTTCCTTCTCTAAACAGCAAAATATTCAAAATCCACAACTCTAATTTTTTTTTATCTATGTTAGTACTTGACTTCAGCCGTTGGCTTAAGTCTCTTTGCAATTGTTTTCTGCAACTTCCTCTTCTTTGCTTCAGTTTCCTGCACAGTAAGAATATAAAAGCAAAGTCATTTTGTTCATATGTTAAAAAATAGATATACTTAGTACAACAACGGAGAAAAAATTAACCCAAAAACATTGAAAAATGATCAAAAATAGTTGGACCTAAAAAGAATCAACTCAGACACGCATCACGAAGGATAAATGCAAAACAAACATATAAGAACACCGCTAAAAAAGTTGAAAAGATCCTTCAATTTTAGAACCGAAGGAGATGACCTAAATTGATGCCTACCATGGAGAAGTCAAAATTGCACATAACAACAAACCCCAAATCTCTGAATCAAGAGACAAAGATAACCCATCAAGCAAATAATTTCATAAGCCTATAACAACGGATCATATGTACATAAATAGATTTTTAAAAGAAAAGGAGTAGATCTGAACAAAAAAAAAGATTTTTTATTACCATGAGCAGCTCATCATAATCATGCAAAAGGGCCTGATGCTTGAATCAAGCCATCGCTTCCTCTGAATCCATCATCAAAACCATGCTCCCCCTCTTCATCATCTTCAACAAATTCCAACCCGAATCCCAAATAAAGGAGGAGAGAAAGAGGAAAAGTCTATAATAATAATAATAATGTGGAAGGAGGGGAAAGATCCAGAAAGTAATAAAAGATAAAAAAATTTGAATTTGGGATGAGGAGGGAAGTTATTAAATGAGAAATTTAAACTTGAGAAGCCAAAATGAATGCAGGTCATAGGAAATTGAAGCAGAAGATGAAAGGTGGTTGAAGATACAAAATATTGTTGTTTTCAAAATAATGAATAATGTTGGGAACCGAAATTATGAATTCTTTAGAAATTGACACGTGGCGGAAGAGGCTTGACATGTGACTTTTTCAAGGGGAAGAGATTTTAGATATATAATATAGATATAATATAGATAATATAGACATGCGCTATTGTATCTATCTTTTTTGTGATTCAAGTACACTAAAGATACAGTAGTCATGATTTAAGAGCATCTCCAACAGCTTCCTCATTTCCCACTTTTGGAGAATTTAGTTAGGTTTTTAGACCAACAGATTTCTCATCTCATTCCCCAAAATAGGGATGGAGGAGAAAAAATGGGGAAGCTTCCTCAAATCTGCAACATTCACCAAATTTTTAGAGGAAAAAGTGGATTCTTCAAAATGGACAAACTGTTGGAGTTGGTGTAAAAATTAGTTGAAGAATATGACTTTTACTTCCTCATTTTGAAGAAAAATTTGGAGAAGCTGTTGGAGATGCCCTAAGAGGCCAACATGGCAGTGTTCAAGTAGATGTAAGGGACTAATTATCTAAAAGCCCAATTCCCATTTTCAGGGCTAGTGAAGACATCATGTGCAGTTGTTGGGCCCAACTGATAGAGGGGTGTAAACTTGGTGAAAGCGACGGGTAAGCCACAGGTTGTTGGTCGCCTCTACGTCGTCGAAGGCTCACCGGGGGCCCCCACCAGCGAGACGGCGCCAACTGTCAGCCCGCTGGGATTCTTCAATCCAACGACCAAAAACGCCTGCTTTCCAATTATCTATTAATATACGATTCGGGCCCCACAATCTCGTTCCCCATTGATCCACTGGCTACAAGCTAGCGAACGGTGGACGTCAGATTCTCTCTCCCTTGATCGCCTTTAATTTCGCCTCTGGACCCCCCAAAAGCGCGTCATTTCGGGGCTTAATTGCAGTTTGGCCTAGTAAACCGGAACAGATTTAGAATTTTGTGTTAGGCTCCTAGAACAAATCAATGTTTACATGTTTCGCTACTATAAATTTCATACTTGCATACTTTTCCTGAAAACCAGACAAAGTTGCAAACTACAAGCCGGACAGACACATTCTCTGCACATAGCTAACGTAGAGGTGAGCTAAGATTATCCTAAAAGCCTGTTCGGCGATATGCTTAAAATCGGGTCAGGACCAATCCTAGCTCGATTTTGTCCTAAACTATGTTACATTTGGTCCATAAGAATAAATGTTTGGAGAGTGAACAAAGAATCAGAACCGAGCCTATTCGTCCATTACTTTATCTTTATTCTGATTGATAATTAGGAAAGTAAATCGCACTGTCTAAATACAACGACACAAAATCTTTGTAGGAAAGACAGATGTTAAAAATAAATATTTTGGAAAATCCACTCACCTAATGTAAATGCGAATGGTACTATATATCCCTTTAGTACGAATTCATACGACAAGTTTTAGAATATGTTGAGAGGCTAATCGCACACAAGCGTACGCCTTCAAATTTGCTTTTAAGAGAGCATAGTAACTTTACGCAAAAGAGTTAACAATATTGCAACGCCGACAGTTTAAAAAGCCGAAAACCTGAGGACCAATGTGCAAAACGGACTCTCGTTAACGACTAAACTGGAAATATCCAAAAGTATTTCATTACTAAACTGCCAATAATACCCATAATGTAGTTATTAATCTCCGGCCCCTTTCTATTTTATCGTCCCGCGGTCTCCGGCCTCTTCCTCTCACCCCCAAATTTGTCCAATTTAATTCCTCTTTTTCCAAAAAATTCCCCTCAAAATTTCAACAAACTCCACGCCCTCTCAGCTAAAGTTCTAGCCTCAGATCCACTCAATTTCCCCTCGAATCTCGCAGTTTTCGGCCCGGATCTTCGTCTTCCAGCTCACTGAAACCCTAGATGCGAGCAAGATGAAGCTTTTGATCCTCCCCTTGATCCTCCTTCACTAAAACAGCAGAGCCTCTTCAACCGGAGGTCAACTACACCCATGTTCCCCATCATCGCCGCCGGAGTTCCCTTCACCACGTCCTCGGATCTCAAACGACGGCGTCCCGTCCTCCTTCGTCTTCGTCGTCGGAGGAACCGTCTCGTGAAATCGGACAAGATCCGCAGCCTGGAGGAGATCTACCTCCCGAATCTCGACCCCGCCGATGCCATGTTTGCCGTCACTGCTGGTAACGTTACCCTTCTGAGCAACTTTAGTGCTTATCAGACTGCTAAAGCTCTCAACTTCGCTTACCTTATTAGAGAATACTGTGTGAATGTTTCGTCGACTGAGCTGAAACTTACTTTCACTCCTTCGAAGAATTACTCGAATGCGTATGCTTTTATTAATGGGATTGAGATCTTGTCGATCCCTGATCTGTTTAGTGATGGTTTGGGACAGCCGAATTTGATTAATGGGGGGACCCCTCAGCCTTATTCGATTGCGCCGCAATGGGCTCTTCAGACTGTTTATAGGCTGAATGTTGGTGGGCAGGCTATTTCGCCTCCGGGTGATTCGGGGTTGTTTAGGTCTTGGGATGATGATTCTCCTTACATTTTTGGAGCTGGGTTTGGTGTTACTTATTCTGCTGACCCCAATGTGACGATTGATTATGATGCGAATTTGCCTGCCTATATTGCGCCGAATAATGTGTATGGGACTGCGAGATCGATGGGTCGAACTGTATCGGTGAATAGAAACAGTAATCTCACTTGGGTAATGTCTGTGGATGCTGGGTTCTACTACTTGGTGAGGCTACATTTCTGTGAGATTCAGTATCCTATGACGAAGCCGAACCAGAGGGTGTTTGATATTTTCGTTAACAATCAAACTGCACAAGTGGGAGCCGATGTAATTCTGTGGAGTGGTGGAATTGGGCATCCTTATTACGTCGATTATGTCGTGATTACGACGGGGACAGGGATGATGGATCTCTGGGTCGATCTTCAGCCTGATGACCAGACAAAGCCGGAGTATCTTGATGCAATCTTGAATGGAATGGAGGTGTTCAAGATTGAGAGTGATGGCAATCTTGCTGGGCCGAATCCTGAGTATCTACCTGAACCTGACCCTCAACCTGATAAGGTTCTGGATTCGAAGAAAGGGAAATCTAAGAGTAATGCCGGAGCGATAGCTGGAGGAATTGTTGGTGGTATTGTTGCACTTGGGCTTGCATATTTCCTGGTGTTTATTGTGTGCAAGAAGCAGAAGAGGAAGAGAGGGAAGGATGCTAGCTCAAGCGACGGACCATCGGGTTGGCTGCCATTGTCTCTCTATGGAAACTCTCACTCTGCAGGCTCTGCAAAGACTAACACGACTGGGAGCTATGCCTCATCGCTGCCCTCTAATCTCTGCCGCCACTTTTCATTTGCAGAGATCGAAGCTGCCACCAATGGCTTCGACGAAGCTCTTCTTCTCGGTGTTGGTGGGTTTGGCAAGGTCTACTGTGGCGATATTGATGGTGGATCGATGAAAGTGGCTATCAAGAGAGGAAACCCTATGTCCGATCAAGGAGTACATGAGTTCCAAACCGAAATTGAGATGCTCTCGAAGCTCAGGCACAGACATTTAGTTTCCCTAATTGGTTACTGTGAAGAAAACCGAGAGATGATCTTAGTCTATGACTACATGGCTCACGGAACTCTCCGCGAACATCTCTACAAGACTCAGAAACCTCCAATGCCGTGGAGACAGCGTCTGGAGATTTGTATAGGCGCTGCTCGTGGCCTTCATTATCTCCACACAGGAGCCAAGCACACAATCATTCATCGTGATGTCAAGACCACCAACATCCTCCTTGACGAGAAGTGGGTCGCTAAGGTTTCAGATTTCGGGCTGTCAAAAACCGGCCCCACCCTCGACAACACCCACGTCAGCACTGTAGTTAAGGGCAGTTTTGGATACCTCGACCCGGAATACTTCCGTCGACAGCAGCTCACCGAGAAATCTGACGTGTACTCCTTCGGCGTTGTTCTGTTCGAAGTCCTTTGTGCTCGGCCGGCGCTAAACCCAACTCTCCCCAAAGAGCAAGTGAGCTTGGCTGAATGGGCATTGCATTGCCAGAAGAAGGGAATACTCGACCAAATCATGGATCCTTACCTCAAAGAGAAGATTGCACCTCAGTGTTTCAAGAAATTTGCCGAGACGGCAGAGAAATGTGTGTCGGATAACGGTATTGAGCGTCCATCGATGGGCGACGTGTTGTGGAACCTGGAGTTTGCGCTGCAGCTGCAGGAGAGCGCGGAGGAGAGCGGAGCTGTTGTTGGAGATGAAGGGGTTCCTTTGGTGAAAGGAGGGAAGAAGGATGTGATCGATCCGTCGATGGACCACTCGACGACCACCACGACGACCACGACGACGACAACAATGAGTATTGGAGGGAGGAGTTTGAACAGTGAGGATTCTGATGGGTTGACGCCCAGCGCGGTTTTCTCCCAGATCATGAACCCGAAAGGACGGTGAGAAATTTGATGCCGTGTTGGTTATTGTTTTTACAGTTTTAGTCTTCGAAAATATTGGAAGATTAAGGTAAATTTGAGTACTTTAGCTATTTATTTTCTCTGTTTATTCAGTTTGTTGATGTAATATTTTTTAGAATGGAATTCGCTATGATCTTTTCATTGAGTATTGTTTGCGGTGTATGTATTGTATCTCTTACTATTGTTCGCAGATTCTGTTGCGGGGTTATTTACTTGGTTCAGTTTGCAGAAAGATTTTAACTTGAGTCGTAGTTTGTTGAAATAACAGTCAAATACATCTCTTTTGCTAATGCAGCTTTTATTTGCTGTGATATATTTATGAAATTGGTAATATTTCCGGCCGGTGGACTTCACAAACTCAGCGTAAAGACTATATTTGCTTATTTTATTGCAGTTGTGTAATGAGGAAATGATAAGATGTTGAGAAAAAGACATTTGAAGAACCAAAGCCTTGTTTTCCGTCTCGGTCGTGAGGAGTCGGTGCGCGCGACGGCCGAGCCAGCTGGCCTAAGGATATGTTATTTTTAGGCTTAAATATCAGAAAATTCCCCTTAACTTTGGACAATTGTCTGACAAGCCCCCATAACTTTTAAAATATTAGAAAAACCCCGTTTATGAGGTTATCAGAATAACACCTCTAAATTTAAGATTTTATAACCCACCACCAAAAAAAGGAAAAAAAAAGGAATAAAAAAGAACAACATTTACCACAATTTTCTGCACTGGTAGGTGAAATTATATAGGAGAATTTTTTGCAATTACAGTTCACACTTTTAGGAAAGTTTTCTGATATAATCTTAAAGTTTAGGGATTTTGATTTCCTCTAAGCTTAAGGTTTTGATATTTTGATGAAAGTATGGGAGGTTATCTTATAATCATCCAAAGTTAAAAGGGAGTTTTGATATTTAGCCTTTTAGTTATTTTTGTTATACTTTAGTTATGAGCTGTTGTTATTAATATATCGTGAATCAAATAAAATTCATAACATAATATACAAAAGGGGATTCTTAAAAAAAATTAAAATTATCGTATTTGCAAGGCGGTTTCTTAAAAAAAAAAACCCCGTGCAAAACTAAAACACGCTTCAAAGCCATCTGAAATGGGCCCAGCCATCCATTTCCTTGGGAATAAAGCCTTGGGACGCGGGGCCGGTGACCGCGAGCCAGCTAAAGATGTGGGTCCCGGAGTCACGATAGATAACAGCGATTGCCGCCAAATCGCCAATAGGCTGGAAGCACAAAAAAAAGGTCACGACGATATGAGATAATCCCATTCCCATCAAATATAGTATCATGCGCAGTGGTGGCGCTCCCCCCTTCACAATGAATGGTTCTTAGCTGGAAAATTCCCTCTCTAAAGTCCACAGTCAACTACTCGCCAACCGTTACGCCGCGTTCACCAGCTACGTATACAAAACTAATTTGATCCCTCACCTCTCTATTTATTAGTTTGTTTGTTAGTTTTAGTGTTTGACTTTTGGTGTCTGAGGGGCATCAAGCAATAAGCATACTGTGGAGATGCCAGGTGATTAAGATGGCATTGAGAGGTGTAAGAGCATCTCCAACCATAAAACCCAAAATAGTGTAGTTTTTACACCAAATTGGTGTAGTTTTTACACCAAATCACTATTCCATCTCCAACCAATTACACCAAATGTTACACCAAAAAGAATATTCCTTTTATTATTCTTATCTTTTAACATTTTTATCTATTTAAAATATTCCTTCTATTGTTGAATTTTATTTTAATAATTATTTTATACTCTAATTTCATTATAATAGTTAATATAAAATAACATATATTATTAATACAAATATAAATAACAAAAGAAAAAAAAAGTTTTTCTGTATTTCTTCTTATAAAAAACCTTCCATTTTAAGTTTTTACAAAAAAAAATAATAATAATAATAATAATGCGCCATCGCTACAGTGTTGCGTCATTTCTGGCGCAACACTGTAGCGGCCTGCTATTTTAGCGGAGCCGATGCCGCTCGGTTGGAGTGAGGACCGGACGCTAACTTGGTGTTTTAGCGTCCGGTTGGAGAAGCTCTGAGCACCGCGAGCTATCAAGAGATGGAAATGATGAGGCCCACTTGCTCCAATGTCGCACCATATCTGATAGAAAGATCTTTTAGCGATATCTCAGAATAAGGCAAGATTCACTAGTAGAAAATTGAACAAACTACACGGAACAAACTAGACGGAATTTTTTTCCGTCTAGTTTGAGGCAATCTAGACGGAACAAATTCCGTCTAGTTTGTTCCGTCTAGTTTGAATCAATTTAGACGGAAATTTCCGTCTAGTTTGACAAACTAGACGGTTTTTATTTTTTTTAAAAAATTAACACTCAATGTAGACGGAATTTCCGTCTAGGTTGATACAACCTAGACGGAAATTCCGTCTAGATTGTCTAAAAAAATTACGGAGCCTCCCTCCTCTTTTTTCATTCCCCCGCCTATATTTTCATTTCGGCGCCTTTTTTTTCTTCCCCTCTCGATCTAAACCCCACCCCCCCCTCTCTTTCCCCAAATCTCTCTCTCTCGTCTCCACGCCGCCTGCTCCTCAAAACGGCGCCGAGATCCTCTCATCCCCCCTCCACCTCCACTGCCAGCGCCGCCCTCTCTCATCTCCATCCTCACCAAGCCCTCAACCCAGCCCGCAACACTCCCTCCGCCTCTACCTCCCAAACCCTAACCCTAGCCCCAAGCACCCCGTCCTCCTCTACTTCCACGGCGGCGGCATCGTTATATTCTCGCCCGCCTCCGGCCTCGTCCACCTCTCCTCCACCGCCCGCTCCACCCGCATCCCCGCCCTCGTCGCCTCCGTCGCCTATAGCCTCGCCCCCGAGCACCACCTCCCCGCAAAGAGATGTCGACCGCTGGAGAACTTGCGTACTCGTACGCCGCCATCATCCTCTACGACGACGACATCCCCATTACGATACTCTTTCTTCCCTTTCCCCCCAATTTCAAGAATTAGGGTTTTGCTTCTTTCAATCTGCGGTTATTTAATTTTCATGAGGTTTAGAATAGAATTATTCTACAGTTTGTATGGATTACTGGGTGATTAGGTCACTAAGAATGCAATTATCATTAACTGGATATGTTTGGCAACAAATGCTTCTTTACTGTATAATGTCAAATTGTAAAAGCTATGGAGACTTGGGATCCAAATAATGCAATTTCTGTATAGAAAATTAGGGCTATAGAACCATGGTCAGTTCTGTCCCTGGTAGGTAGTTAAAATTTTGTACTTGTTAATGCCTATTTTGGATATGTTACATCTAAACTAACTAATAGGGGAGATATGACCACTAATTTGTACATTATTTCAACTTCTTCAGGGGGTAGTGATCTTCTCAGTTCGGAGACAAATAGCAGCGTAAAGGACACAAAAATTTCAATTGATTGCAGTAGGCCGGAGTCTCCGGTTGTGGAAACTTGCTCTAACCCATGTACGCGAGGTAAAATTCTATGGTTGGAGATAACTGAAATTTTTTCAGTAAAAAAGGTAAAAAGCTTGGATCCTTGAACAATAATTTTTTGCGTACAGTTCTTATGATAGAATGTCAATGTTGAATCCTCATCTGCAGTTGTGTACTCATTCCTTTTCCATGTAAGTATAAAATTTTTCTACTTAACTTCTAAACTTCCTTTGGTTTGGATGATGGTGACATAAAGGAGGCATAATCACTTTAACTGATAGCTCAAACCAGAGATAGACTTTAGCTTCACTGATACCTACATTTTCGATAATCTTTTTAGTTTCTTATGCTTGAATGTCGATGTGTCCAAAAACTGTATGACAAGTATTTTAAATCAAAACATGTATCTTGATTTACAGCTGAAATCAATGATATACATGGAGTACCCTGTGTAAACACTTCTGGTATTTTCATGGAGTTATGATTTCATTCCCTCTTGATTTACAGCATATGACTATGTTTGAAGGACTTCAACTTTTTGAGCAGCTGTTTGATAGTTCAGAGATTACAAGGCTAAATTCGTTAGCAAATAACTTGAGAGCCGCTGGTCATAAAAGAGAGTTCCGTGGTAAACTCCGTTATTTACCTTTTTCATATTCTCATCCAACAAGTTATCATCTCTCATTGTACCTTATTTTTGTTACAGTTTTTGTATTAATATTGCTATCTTAAGATCTTGATATGATTAACCAGCTTTTGCCAATCTATTTCTGCAATTAGAACAGTATTAGTTACTAACTTAATCCTATTCTTTCAAAAGTTGGAGGCTTTAGGCCTAGTTATACATGATTACCAATCTTCCTGTGTCTATGGATCATTTGCATACCTCTAAGTTATATGATGGAGCTTTTCAGGAGTCTTAACACTTGGGGAAAATTGTAAGGTTGAGAAAAAAAAACATTTGAAATATTGAAAAGAAAATATTAAGCGACCAGTGAAGAATTTGGAATGATTTGTTTAATATACAATTTGACTCGGGTAGATGCAGTTATCTTATAGATTAGGAGCAAGCCAATCTGATGAAATAGTTGACTGATATCATATATCATACCCTAAAATCTTTGGGCTAGTGAGAAATATGCATTATAATAGGCGATTTTCTAAATTTATATAAGGGAGAGACTCTTCTGTTGAATTTCTCTTTTTTGTCAGTCATGCTAAGGGCTCATGTTCCAGGTAGTCTCATGAACTTTCTCTCCCTTCCGTGTATAACCACAATCTTTTAGGCCATCTGGAATTATGTCATTCGAGAATTTTTCCCTCTTGTTTTTGTTTGGGTTGGTTTGGGTGGGTTTTTTGTTTTTATTTTTGTAAAGAGTTGTTTGGCATTAGTAAAGAGTTGTTTGGTATTTATAAAGAGTTACACATGAGGAGATATATTATCTTGCTTTTCAGATGTTTACATCTGTTATTTTCCCTCTTGCACCAGTCCATCCCTTCAGTTACGTTGTTCCAATACTTCAAGGATCTAACCTGAACAAAATTTAGGAATTTCTATAACATGATATCTTCTAAATTTATAGGAGGATTGTTGAATTACTGGTTTTTGTTAGCATGCTAAGGGCTCATATATCTTCCAGGGAGTCTCATGAACTTTGTCTTCCATCTATAAGTAATTACGATCTTTTATGCCATTTGGAATCATGCCATTCAAAGAGGGGTTTTTCTTTGTGATTTTTGTTTTGCCTTTTTTCCTTTTTTTTTCTGGGGCGGAGGGTGTGAGGTGGGGGTTGGGCTTGGTAGTGTTATTTCCTCCCATTAAAAGAGTTGTTTATAACATTAAGAAAGAGTTGCATATGAGGAAATTTTGTGCTTTTGCTGTGGATAAATTTGACCTCTCATAGTTTGGCATTACTAAATACCTTTTCTTTGGAATGATGAAAATCAGGGCGTACCTTTGTTGTATCCAAGAGGCCTATGAAAGGGCATGGGAGAGAAATGATCCAATTAGGCATCCCCATTGCTGAAGGACCTGCACTAGATGAAACTACAACTGGGAACTCTTCTGGTAAGTTCTTCCTTGTACAACATTTTCTGCGATTAATGAATTCTGTACAAATGTGCTATCATTATCTTAAAGCCCATTCTCTCAGAGCGGAAGGCGGAGGCTATTCCAAGCTTGTTGCAGGATGCCCTTGATCTATTGATCCAGAATCAGGTTTTGACTATTAAGCCTGATTATTGTATTATCGATTTTTTCAATGAGGTAAGCAACTGTTATTGATGCTCTGAACTTTGCTAACTATAATGATTTAACATACAAGCGTAACATATGTGCTTATGTCTAGGGTGACCATTCACAGCCTCATCTTTGGCCATCGTGGTATGGGACACCTGTTTGCACTCTATTTTTGACGGCATGTGACATGGTTTTTGGTCGAATTATTGAAGGAGATCATAGAGGAAATTATAGAAGTCCCCTCAAGCTTGCCATTAAATCTGGGTTCGTCTTCCTTTATCCCACTATGATATATGCATTTTAGTGCATCATATATTAGATGTATCCATACAGCATCTTGTCCATACAAAATATTCTGCTCTTACAGACTTTCTATTGGGTACCTATATTTTGTTTTATTTGTTAAAATTTGGATTTCTCAAACAGCGAGCTTTATATTTCAGCTTTTGAGTTACCACTCCAAGCATTAATCCACTGAGATCCCAAGGCTTATGTATAATTTCCAGTTTTATTTAAATATAAAATTTTCATCAGTTACAATAAGTAAATTATAGTAAGGCCTTACTCATATTCATTGAGGTGAGGTTTAACAAGTTATCCAAGTTAACATTATGGTCCTTATTTATTTCCTCTCACCTATGTATCACGTATACTCCCATCCTGAAGCCGTACCTATGTCAGACAATCTGACATTCAGACCTGTGTTGGACACTGACACTTTATTAGACATTCGTTAGACACATGTATGTACTTAAATTATTTCTACAATTATATAATACATCCTTTCAGTTAGGTCACATGCCCTATTCACTTCTTAGACAACATTTCTCACACGTCATATACAACCCTTTATTCATATTACATGCTCGAGATACCTATTTACTTTCATTTACACAATATAGTATATAGTGCAGAAATGCCACCAAAATGTTGACTTTTATAAAAGGAAATTTGAACAAGTCTAGCATTATATGAAGTTGAAGAGTTAAGTTCTGCAAAGTCATAAAGAATAGGAAAATTTTCACAAATATATGATTAATCAAAGGCTTTGAAAAAAATACTACAAACTTTCCAGTCAGTAGAAAAACCCACAAACTTGTAGAAACATCCATGAATTAAATGCAACAAATATTTATTTATGCTCTATAAAATTACCTTGAATCAACTACGAGAGACTTTTAGTTTCAAGCGCATCATAAAACTACCATGTCGTTTTCAATAGCATGTAGTAGTCTTTTGCTAATTCTAAAGTTCTGTGGTATTTTTTACTAATTAAAATAGTTTGTGATAATTTTGTGCAAAGCCTGTGATAATCCATGTTATTTGTTTTGAAATATTCTCCATAAAAATGTATAGTAGGTCAACTTTAGCAGATATGAAATCATAATGTTTCATATCATTAGAAATGGTTAATTACAGAAAACCCCCATGAACTTTTGAGGAGTTGCTTCTGCTCTTTTATGATGAATCTTAATCTGGGTGATGACGATTGTAGGAGTTTTGGATGGTGAAACACACCGGTAGATTCTGCATGTCGATTTCTTCAAAGGCTATGTTGATTACTGGAATCAATGATTGAAGACACTGGAATTATATCCAGTCAAGGGTTCGGCTATTATTTGAGGTAATTTGTTATGCATGGTTTACTGTTTAGTTTGTGGATATATCTGATTCTTTCATTATGCAGGTCTTAGCCTTTCCTTGTTAACTTATTGTAGTTATGTATGGTGTACCATTTAATTTGTCGATTTCTTTTCTCTTTGTAATTTCTGTCTCAGGTCCTCTCTAAGTCGAACAAACTCACAGAGATTTGCACTTCAGCTAGGTAAGTTAAACATTCTTTATTTACTTGTCCGTCTTTGATTTAATTTACTTGAAGGTAGCTAAACGACTTTTGGTTGTCCTGCTTCTCAAGCTACATTTCAGAGTTAAGACACTTCTTGCGAGTCAAATATGATAATCTTTCTTCTCTAGGTTAGAAGTATTTGCATATTTGTTCAGTTTCTATCATCTCAATATATATGTCTAGCTGAAGTTGCCTTAGATTTTCTTTTTGAAGTTGTTTCATGCTAATTTTGTCAGAGCTTGTTTCCAGTGAAAGGATAATTAGGGGTTTTACTGATCAGAGTATACTCCCATTTCTCTCACTTCTGCTAGTGAGCTTCCTTCAGGGAGGAGATGGTTTAACGAAAATGGACTTTTTTCAAGAGGAAAATCTTATTGGAACAGTCTGTTTGGTTTATCCTTCGGTAACCAATATTTTGATTTCCCTATTAGTTCTTCTGCAAAGTTAATGCTTTCTAAGTGTATTTCATGGCATGGACTAATTGATGTTGAATTTTAGAGTGATGTTAAGAAGCTAATATTCCTGATCATTATTTAGTGTATATGCTTTCTAAGTGTATTTCATGGCATGGACTAATTGATGTTGAATTTTGTATAATGTAGGATTAAGGAGGAAGAAACATGATGCTTCAACAACTTGGAGGAGTAAATGCAATTGGATTCTATAAATTATGCAAAGTTCATTAAGTTATGTAAACAATTGTATTCTTTATAATCAATCTATGTAAAAAATTTATGCACCTTTCTAGTATTTTGGTGAATGTATTATTTGAATATAACTATATTTGATATTGAAATATAATTAGATCGATTGTGTTGGATATGAACATGATTTGGTGTTGTGCTATATTGTGTACATGTGATATTATATAACGTGTAACGTAGATTTTGCAAAAAAAAAAAAAAAAACTTACTGTAGCAGAGCAACCTAGACGGAATTCCGTCTAGGTTGCACTGTAGCAATCCGTCTAGATTGCTAATCTAGACGGAATTCCGTCTAAGTTGCTACTGTAGCAACCTAGACGGAATTCCGTCTAGGTTGCCAACCTAGACGGAATTCCGTCTAGATAGCAACCTAGACGGATTTCTTACTTCCGTCTAGCTTGATATCCGTCTAGGTTGGTCAACCTAGACGGAATTCCGTCTAGTTTGCCCCAACCTAAACGGAATCAGAATAGACTGAGCAAACTAGACGGAATTCCGTCTAGGTGTACCAACCTAGACGGGAAATTGAGCAATCTAGACGGATTTCCGTCTAGATTGCTCGTTTTTCTACTAGTGATTTTCACGTTTCGAAAATCGGGGGAGAAAAAGACGTACACAGTCATGTTGGATAATTGACGAGGAATATAATTAGACGCTAAGACATGTATGTCTCATACAATCCTTTCCGACTACCTTAACCTTTACTTCCGTATACACGCTAGATACATGGGAATTAGACAACAGTCAAAAGTATTGATAACTGCCTTGGACAGTATCATAATGATCACTCGGTTCCGACGCATAAAAAAAAAATAAAAAAATAAAAAGAAATTAAGATTCAATAGGCGTAGGTAGGCAGAAATTAGTCAAGGGAACTAAAATCTAAAATCTAAGCGAGTCCAGCACGAATCATGTATATCTTGCACTTTAACCGTGAAAGCGATGGAGCGTCAAGTTTTGAAAGCGGGCAATTCATGATCGTAACCAATGAGTCACTCAACGGCCAAAGAAATCAAACAGGACGCTACAACATGATTCGAAACTTTTCACAAAAAATAATAAATAAATAAATAAATAAATATACATTTATCACAATATCTCTAATTCCCCTTTTTTCAGTCACCCTCGATCTCTATAACTGTGAGTTCTCATATACGTAAAATATGCTAGAATAAAGACCTGTAAAAGCTCACTATTACCAAAAATAACTCAAATCTAATTGAAATTTTTGTTTCGTGGTAAAATAACTAAGCCTTTGAAGCAATCACAATATAGAGGGATCTGAAACTTCGCTTCAACGGCGCATGGAAGCACTAGCTCTTAGGCTCAATAAACGCGATTATCTTCTTCTCAAGCGCGATTTTGTTAGCACCCACAACCTTATCCACTTGCTGCCCGTTCTTCAAGAAAAAGAATGTTGGAGTGCCACGAACATCCCATGTAGAACAAAGTTCCTACAGAGCAGAAAGAAGGATGTACATTATTGTCCCAAAAAATAATGACCTCCAATTTGTAAATAATGGCATAATCAAATGCAACACAAAAATGGTTAAGGTTTAGGTTGAAGATAGCTAGTATGTAGATTTCAAATAATCATAAGAGTATGAGCACAGATGACCACTAGTCTGCACAGTCAACCAAATAAGAGCGGAAATGCTACTATTAAGAAATAGATACACGAGTTACAAGCAAGTTACCAAAAAAAAAGGTTATCAAAGCAAATTCTTAAGATCTAGAATCCTTTATGTTTACTTTTAAATTGCATGAGCATTTACACATACAGGATGTGAAGCCAGTCAAAAAACAATAATAGTGTCACCACCTACTACAGTAGTAAATCGTAAGCCGAGAAGAGAAGAAAAGAAAAAGCATCAAGCATGCACATAGTTTATCCACAGATATCAGTAGATGCATATGAGATATGCTTTCAATCGAGCAAGGATCACAGCTAACTAGTAACTTACTATAATATCAGTAGAATTAGAAGATGTTTAGTTCAAAGTTGGCACCTACAAAGTCATAGCACAATGGCAATACGGATCTAGATACTGCAGCACGCAAATTTCTCCAATGATCTATTCAACAATAATTATTAGTATCGAGCAGTGGAACATAGATGACATAACAATCACAGAATCTCTAACTTTGTTCTAAGGATACATGCATGAAGAAACAACAGATACCTTCAGAGTTCAAGAATAATGATAGACATTCCCTACTATCATGGACTTACCCTTAAGTCTTATCTATTTGCATTGATTATGTTATTTATTGAAGATATTGAATTAGCGTTTGACTAAAATGTTGGAATACACTGGTACAACTGTACAAGGACTGTACACACTCCAATTCATATCATAAGACTAACATTGATCATGAAGGCTCAATTTGATCCATGTAAGAAACAAGATGACCAAGTAGAATTGCTAATAGCAATCACATCTCGCGTCATGGGAGTTATTATCCCTTCATAGCTCAAGACGGCCTAGAACAATCTCATCTAGAAGAGAAATTCAAGAGTTCCATGTTCAAATGCATATGTGACAAACATCAAATTGTTATAATTATAATCTATCCCTCAATAAACTGGTCTCTATGTTTATATATGAAATTTAACCAGATGTACACCTTGTATACATGTGCAAGGATCTGCTATACAATGAAGCTGGATCTAAACAGAAGCTGTTAACAGAAGCTGTTAGTAGGAAGCGGAAAAAACACGGAGAATTTGTCAACGTGGATATCGAGAGGAATATACCATCAACTGTTAAGAAGACATAGTCTACGCCAAAAAAGTGAGGCATTATTTAATATGGCTATATATACAAACGATCTGATCTCCCTTAACTAACTGGTTATTCTGAAGTAGGACAGATTAAAGAAAAGGGCAGGTCCTGGTGAGAAGAACATATTCTGAGGAAGGAAAAAAAAAAAGGTTAAGAGGGCAACAAATGATGGAAGCAACTCAATACTTACAGCTAACTCATCAACATCAATAGTTAGAAAAACAAGTTGAGGGTACTTCTCGGAGAGCTCAGTATAGAGAGGAGTGATCTGTCTACATGGGCCACACCATGATGCACTGAAATTTGCAACGACCTGCAGCAAATAGAAATATCAGTTACATGCAAGTCTATAGGGGAAAAATAAAGCCTTATAAAGATGGTAACTGATAAAAGCTTGACTAAGGATCAAAAGTTGCAGCTAGCGAGGCATCTGCATGAACATGCTTATAATTGGTATAAACATAAGTAGAAAAGAGTCAAACAAGTCAACTGTATGAACATTTCCACAGTAAAACTGAAGCTGAAGACTAGAAACCTTGCTTGTTTATATTCAATCCTAGATAAAATTAGAAGGCACATAATTGTTCCATGAATAGAACTGAAATCTGTCTGACCAAACAATTGCTTGCATAATTGTTCCATGAATAGAACTGAAATCTGTCTGACCAGACAATTGCTCGAGTTAAATATCAGAAGGATACAAAAACAATTTGCATAATAAGAGAACTGGTTATATCACAAAAAAGAAGAGAACCGAAGCCTATTGATTAATAGCCAGGAACAAAATAAACTGAGTCAATGAATGAGTGAATCACACAGAGCATAAGCAAATAGATATAAGAATCCCCAATATTTACATATTTATTTTGCTGCAATAATTCAATGGTATCAGGCACCAAGTCTGAAAGTTTGCGAGATCCAAGCAAGGGGTTATATTCTTAATGCTTTTTAGATCTTCATGTGCAGTTGAAACAACGATTTAAGATTCAAAAGCTACAGTTGGTATTGTGCTCAAAACAAACACAATTCTAACTACATCTTGGAAACTGTGCTTAAAACCATGTTACCAACTAACGATATATTTTTGGCGAGCATCTCTAATTTAGTATATAAAGAGTTGTAATAATTAACATTTATAAATAATTATTTGATGTACTTTGAACATCAAGATGCCTGAACGAGGTCGTGCTACTCCAACTATCATAATTGGAATAAGATGGGAGTTACAAACACATTTCTTTTTTAACAGCATTCCACCACAACTTACAGACTCAAGTCTTTAAAATGAAAAAAGCAATATAATACTTACTATCTTGCCAGCCTCGTTTGCTTCTGCGATCTTCTCATTCCAGCTTTCATTGTTAGTTATGACATTCACATTTCCACCACTGAAATTGGTTTTTTCTTCCTCAGAATTGGACTCAACTACCTGTTACAAGAAATTCAATGAGTTACTGTCTTCAAAAAGGCAAGAAAATCACCCTATGCAGACTGATGCAATCTTGATCTTATTTTTAACAAACTCTCTCTATAGATTGAAAGGATTGAAGGTCACATAACAAGGAAACGATGAATATATATTGGAGGCAAACTAGTTCATCTATATCTGATAAATGTCATTCTGCTAGGCAAAGGAACACATTGATAAAAACCTAAAGAACTCAAAAGGAGAGGAGCATGTGAGATACATACATGGGTGTGGATACGGGTACAAGGACACCGAATACAACACAAATTTGTGAATAAGTATGGTTAAGGTGATACAACTATTACATAATTAAAAGTAACATCTAGCAAGTTCTCCAAAATCACAGATTAATAGCATTGTAAATTATAAAACTCCAAACTTGACAATAGGAAATATTCCCAAAACAAAAAAAGAAAAGAAAAGAAAAGAAACAAGGTCAATAGTATGTCATAGGACCTACAGGTACACCAAAACTTCGAAGTCGTAGTAAGGGTTGAGGGTTACTTTTAACATATCCCCACATGTTGAGTAACCTTTTCATGGGCTGAAATCTGGACTCATGATACCTATTTTTCCTAAATTCACTTTAAATTTGTGGCTGGTAAGACTTGATCCTAGGTGGCTCTGATACCATGTCAAAGGAACCTTCCACTATGCCAAAACTCCAAAGTTCTGGTGAGGGTTATAAGTTTTTATGCTCTAATAAATACACATCACACTAAGTACTAACACAAACTCTGCACCATTGAGTCATCGTGCTGTTTGTTAAGATTATCTCACATGTTCCAAGCAATTCCCCATTCAAACCAAAGAGACTGAATACCAATCTGTCTTTTCCTGAAAAACAAGAAAGCAAGGGGAGAAACATCAGAAAGTTTATCAGGAAAGTAACAAAAGCCAGAAATATACCCAAATGGTAGATAACAAATTAATAAAGATTAAAGACATGCCGAGGCTATTATGCAACAAACTTGCATGTAAACTCCAAGTGCATGTTTCAGATATGTGTAAAGGGGCATCAATAAGCAATCAACTTCTAACCAGTGATGGTTATTCTATAATGGTTATAGAGTCAGAGCAATATTACATCAAAATATCCAAAATGTAGAATATATCAAAATGGAATTGATGCAAAAGGCATCTTGCTCATTCTCCAACAACAAACTTTCTCAGCTTAGTTGAACATCTGTAATTTTTTTGGCCAGGCATGTTACATAAATCAAGATGCTAACAAAAACCGGGTGCAAGGACATGAATGCATCACAGGGTTAACAGTGTTGACGAGGATGGGATAAAACCAGCTACTATTGGAAACAAATGCAGGCATAAATCATGATAATTGCAATAATTGAACTATAAAACTGGAGTACCTAAGTTGCTAGAAAAAGATTGTCAGGTAGAGGGGCTAGAATTTGTGTTAAAATGTTAAAAGGACGGGAAGGTCCAATGCAGTATCAAGTGAAAAAGATGCAAGAGAAGCAACGAGAACTCACTCTTTATAGAAATGAAAAGAGACCTTAAATAATTAGGAGTATTGCTGTTAGTCAAGGTTCAAGAAGACCGATATTATACTCATCTCCCCCTATATAGCTTTGATATGGTCTATCGTTTCTTCATTAATGAAAAGGGGTTGTATAATGAATTCAATCTAAATACCCCGACACAGACGAATACCAACATAAAGAATACACGTACGTAAATACTGCAAACTCATAAAACAGCAGATATTGAAATAGGTACAAAGCGTATATAGCTTGAATATAAGCAACCTAAGACCGCCCACTTTTATGAGTCCTACATTTCAAGATATAAGTATGAGAACATAAATTAAAGACCTAAAAATATAACTTGAATATCTTAACACCATTTAATCTCACGGCGAGAAAACCCAGGTGCAAAGATTTTCTGAAATGTACATTAATGGATCAGATGGTCCTGATACATGACATAAGCAACCATACTATGTACGATGAGCAGAGCATAATATCCTGCATTTATTCATGAAATCACCCTCAATTTTCTTGAATGCCACTGAACTCAGTTAAAAACGCCTATATCGTCCTTGGCGTCAAAAATCTCGAATCACATTTACGCTCATAAGAACAAGAATCCACTGCCACTATCAAAACTACAACTTGAATTCAAAACCTGCAAAATTGAACAAAAAGAAACTTTGCTCTACGTTAATCAACGAAATAAATGTAGAATCAGAATTAGGTTAAAGATTAAGCTACAAATTAGCACAAATATTAGCGTAAAATAAATAAATAAGAGATCCAACCTCTTCACGATCCCCGCTCCACGAATGGATTTGTTTCGGATAGCAACCCGCTAACTGTAGCGGGAAATCCAACGGAAAATCGAAGAAGGGAAGCCCTAATATTGGATTGTTAAAATTGCGAAGGGCCAGAGAAAGGGTGAAATTTTGTTTGGCATTTGTTTTTCTCGACATCGGAAGTAATAAACGACGGTTAAAAATTTTAGGTTAAGATATAATTAACTTATTTTAAAAATAATGAGAAAATGCGGGTGGAAATGAACCAAATACTTATCAATTTTTTTTTAAAATATAAACTAGTATAATGCACGTGGTTTTCCCATTGATTTTTTTATTAAATCGTAAAATTATGTATTAATAAATAAAGTTATATAATTAAATTGCTTTTAAAAATATATAAATTAATTATTATGAGTTTTTATTTTTAGGCCTAAAGGTTTACCTTAGTTTAACTTTAAACCCAACTAATTTATTTTGTATCATTGAACACACTTATCTTTATGTATTTATCTTTAGACCAAACTTCCAAAGATACGATACACACGTATGTGAGCTCCCCTTAAACTTTTAGGAAAAAAAAAATCAAATTCTGTCATTCTCCAACCTCCTTTTCTTTGATCCTGCATTCTTTCATATATGTGGACCCCCTTAAATTTTTAAAAATCCAATTATACTCCCCTCTATATTTTTCAATTAATTCTCCTCTCTCTTCCATTATTCTCTTTTTTAAATTCTTTCACTCTTATGAACTCATCAATTAATTCTCAACTTCATTAATGCTTAGGGTGTGATTGCTAGAATTTGGTAGAAATTCTTTACTTTCTTAGTAATTTAAGGTATAATTTTGTATTTTACTCAACTACTTACTTTATATCATTAGTTTCTCATTCTATTCATGAAAAGCATTTCACATTATAATTCATGAATTCATAAAAATTATTTTATATTTTATAGTTAGTTAAATTTGATTTTAGTTGACTATCTTTGATGAAATTTGGCACAACTTTATCTATTTTTTGTGACAAACAAGATGGATGAAGAATTGTATTGTGCATTGACGGATTTTAAAGGAAATAATCACTTTTTTAAATTGAATATCAATGGGAAATAAGCATTTATTATATACTCAATTCTTGACGATGACAAGTCATATGTAGATGATAAAAATATGGTGCCTCGGCCGCTAACAATAATAATTCTTCGTTAAAGACTAAGAACAATGCACATTCCTTCACGATTGAATCCCCATAAAGAGTAAAAGTGTAGTAGATGTCAGCGATACAGTCACAATCGTAGAACATGTAGATAACCTATTGCAGACTAAATTGACTTTTATATTCTAACTTTTGGAACATACTAGTATACAATACGTGCGTTGCACGTGATGCATATTAAAAAACTATAAGAGTTAAAATTCATAATATTTCCATAAGTATGCATTGAACTTATTTAATATAATGTTTCCATAATATTATATTATTTAATAAATTATATATAACCATTAAAAATTATTTTATTGCACTATGGTTAAAAAAATTTAACTTATACTAATATTAGTACTTATACTATTATTAACATACATTTAATAGTTATTTAAAATTTTCTATTATTATATTATTAAACAATTTATTTAGGAGTATAATTATTAAATAATAATGTAATCATTAGTTTAAGTAATACTATTGATATAAAATAAACTATTTAAATTATTAAATATTTATGTCATGTACATATTTTATTACAATATCTATTAAATAATGGCAATAAATTTTAATATTATATGACTTTATGTTGTAAAGAATATTACCTTATTCGATAATTAATATCGTCTCAATAATAAAAATTTGGATGGTATAAATTAAAAATACTATTATTTAGAAAAATTATTTTATATAAATATATTGGATCCTCGAAATATATGAGACATTTACTTTCCAAAAAAAATGTATGACTCATAAATTTCAAAGATCCAATATTTTATTGCACTATGTTCATAATGTCTAATTTTTATGACTAAGACGATATTATAATATCATTATAAATTATTAGTATATTCTAGCGAGTGGCCAAATATTTTGAAGAAAAGAAGAGAAAAGTATATGCGTCATAAATTTTAAGAATCCAATTTTTTTATATAAATTAATTTTCTACTTTCTAAAATAAAAGTATTTTTAATTTATAACATCCAAATTTTTATTACTAAGATGATATTAATTATCAAACAATGTAATATTCTTTATAACATAAAGAAATAACCCTATTTATACTATTATTAATAATTATAATTATATCCAATAATTTATTAAATGAATGAATTTTACTATTTTATATAATTAATAATTTTTTTCAATAAATTATCATATACTCATAATTTTTTATCATTATAAATTATTAATATATTCTAGCGAATGACCAAATAATTTGAAAAATGAAAAGGTGCATAGTTAATGAGAGGTTATGGATCATTAGTTTTATAATTAATGATATAATTTTGAGTTATAAGAAATTGAGAGGGTAAAAAAGGAAATCAAAAGTTTTAACATGGGTATTCTCTTTTATAAGTAGTATAGATAAGCAAAATATTGCAACCAAGCATGAGTTTCTGTGTTTTACTTTTGTGTAAGTGTCATACATTTATTTCTTAAGATATGATTGTGTTTGTTATTTGTTTGGTATGATTATTTTGTTATGTGTTTCATATGATTGTGGACTATCAGGATAACCTGGTATGATTGTGCTCTTTCAGGATAACCTGCTGCCCTTTAAGAATAATCCGCTATACTTTCATAATATCACACTATATTTTCATAATAACCTGTTATACTTTCATATATTACGCTATACCTTTAGGATATCACGCTATACTTTCATATTATCCCGCCATGCTTTCATAATATCATCTTATATATTTATAATAGCCAATTATACTTTCATAATATCATATTATATTTTCATATTATCACGCTATATTTTCATTATATCAGACTACACTTTTAGGATACCATGCTATACTTTCATATTAGCTCGCTATACTTTTAAAATGACCTACTATACTTTCATAATATTACACTATACTTTCAGAATAACCCGCTATAATGTCATAATATCACGCTATACTTTTATATTATCACACTATACTTTCATAATATCACGCTATACTTTCATATTATCATATAATGCTTTTATAATATCACGCTATGTAATTCTTTATCCATCTATGTTTGTCACAAAAAAAAAACAAATTTGTGCAAAAATTCATCAAAGATAGTTAACTAAAATCAAATTCAACTATATAAAATGTAAAATAATTTTCATGAATTCATGAATAATAATGTGAATTTTTTTTTTCATGAATAAAATGAGAAACTAATGCTATAAATTAAGTAGTTGAGTAAAATGCAAAATTATACCTTAAATTACTAAGAGAGTGATGAATCTCTACCAAAATCAAGCAATCACGCCCTAAGTATTGATGAAGCTGAGAATTAAATGATGGATTCATAAGAGTGATTGAGAATTAATTGATGGGTTCATAATAAATTAGTTGAGTTTAAAAATAAACTAGAGTAAACTTTGGGCCCTAAAAAAACCCTAATTATTATTGTGTAGTTATTGTAATTGAATATTTTTTATAATGATCGCCCGCTATTAACTTTTTTTTTTTAAATAAGTCCCTAAATCTAAAATTATTCTTAAATAAAACTGTCAATTTTATAAGTTCTCTTAAATATGCCCCTCCAATTTAAAAGTTGTTAACTTAACTCAAAATTAACTAAATTGCATTAATTTTGTTAGCTTTTTCCTGATATTCCCTGGAGAGTTACACTTGATACCTGCAACATATTACAATAGTTATTTCTCATTATAATTATTTAATATGATAAATTATGCTAACCCTTATGAACTTTTAACTCATATGAACTTTCAAAAGTACGGTAAACCCTTAATGATCTTTTTTGTTTCAAAGAAGATCACCAATAACTTTCTGATTTTTGCAGATAAACCTTATAAAGTAGAAGTAGAAGATGGCATAAAAATGCATTTTGAAAGTTATTGGGGGTTTGGTGTAACTTATCTCATTTATATTTGGGGCTTTCTACAAAGAGTTATTAGGGATCCAGTGTGATTTCAAAAGTTCATAGGGTCTATTTACTGCAAAATGCTGAAAGTTCATGTGGGTTTACTATAATTTTACCTTATTTAATATTATAATTATTAGTTCAAGAATACTATTAAAATAATTATAATGTTTATATATTATAAAATATTTATCTAATTTAATTTTTAAATTATGCTCTTAAATAATTTAGTAGTATAAATATTGTATAAATTTTTATTATACGATCATTAACAAATTAATAATACTATTATTAATATTAAATATTTTTTATAAAAAGGTTAGTTTTTAATCATTACCAAGTATAGATTATTTAGTATCATGTAATAATCTTTGATAAAATACTCTAAATATATATTAAATTATTTATTTAATTTATTTAATAATATAATACTAAATAAATAGTATAATTCATAATTTATGTGATATTATAAGAATAATTACACTATTTATGTTATATGATATTTATTCTATTTATTTTATTGCTCATTGAATTATAGTATAATTCTTAATAGTATTTAGTAATATATTATTCTATTTATACTATTATTTTAATTATTTTATTATAATTCATAAATAATAGGTATAATAATTTAATTGGTTATTATTAATAATTGTATATACTTATTTTATAAATTATTTTATTATTTTTAAATAATTAATAGTTATTATAGCCATTTTAGTGATGAAAAATAATCTCTAATCAATGGTGGACAAGTGTCCCACATTATGCATAATCAAGTTAGTATTTCAAAATAATCACAGGCCCAATTCGATCGACTCGACATACCGACATCTTGCAAGGACGACTCGAAAGACATTATGTGTAAACGATTCGAAAGGCGTCACGTGTTAATGACTCGAAAAGCGTTACGTGTCGATCCCAAGCCAACTTGACTGTTTAATCATCCCACTCAACCGACTAATTGGCTGACACCTTGCGAAGGCGACTCAAAAGCGAGACTTCTCGACCATCGAACAAGTAGAAAGGTGACGAAATGCCTCGAGCCTTGAGCCCCCTTTTCGCGCACTGATGACCAATCACCT